TGAGGGCCATAGTACATTTGGAGTTTGTTCCATCGGGTCAGACTGTTCATCAAGCTTTCTATTTAGAAGTTCTGAAAGATTGTGTAACAGTGTGCGACCAAAAGGCCTGATTTGTGGCAGATGGGGGACTGGTTTTGCCACCACCACAATGCACCTGCTCACATAGCCATCTCAGTGTACCAGTGTTGGGCAAAAAACAGCATGCCTCTCTTGCCCCACGCATTCTACTCACCTGACCTCACTCTGGGCAACTTTTTGTTTCTGCAAATGAAGAGGGACATGAAATAATAGTGATTTGAGGATGTAGAAGAGGTGAAGAAAAAAAATGAGGAGGTGCTGTCAGCCATCCAAACAGATGAGTTTGAAAAATGTTCCCAAGGATGGAATTGCTGATTTGACAAATCTATTAAGTGTCATGGAGAGTACTTTGAAGGTGATAAGGTTGTTTTGTAAAAAAAATTCAAATACATAACTTTGGGGGGGAAATTCTGTTTTGGGGGGGTCCCCCTCATATATAGCCTGTCTTTACTATTTCATTTTCAGAGCACCTTCCCAATACCTTCAGTATCTTTGGGCTAACTCGGCTTGGTGCGAATCCTGTCTACTCATAATGCCTATCTTCTGCTTACATTAACTTTCAGTGTTTCTCTGCACATTTCGTCTTTTAATTTGCTGATAGAGGCAATGATGGCTATTTCCACAAATTCGATTGCATCTTGTATGGTGGAGAGGAGGGACTCAATTCAGCCACGAGGCCAGGTGGGTTGCAAACAGCAAAGCTTCTTTCTGGCCTGCGAGCAGACAGGCTGAGGCAGACAGTGCAGCGACCCAGACTGACGCTAAACCATGCATCGGCACGAGCTCAGGGGCTAGTGCCCTAAGATCCCGTACAGAAATGAGGAGTGGGCTTGGCCCCTCGGGGGTGGAAAATACAGGCTGGGGTCTTTTTGATCGATTGGCATCATAAAAGCTCCAGGCAGTCATTTTCAGTCCTCGTCATGCCTGGTTTGCTGATTCCTTCGTGGTCATCACTGTCCTTGGCTGGCCGATTTCTGACAAAGGTACATTCTTTCCTGTTTGGGCAGAACTTTTTACAGGGTCCGCCTTGGGGCAGAACTTTATAGGGTGTGCTCAGAGGCAGCCAGGGAGGAACTTTGGTTCTTAGCAGACTCCAAAGACATGGATTATCTGCATTACTAGCCCAAACAAGCCAAAGTGGAGTTTAATTTAAAGTGGAGTTTGTCTGTCTGAAGTCACTCTATTCACATATGCTGAAGATAAGGTTGTTTTGTAAAAAATTTAAAACATAGCTTTGGAAAAAAATATGTTTTGGAGGGGAGGGGAAGGGGGGGGACTACCTACTGGTAGATTCTGACTCCCGGGAAGCCTGGGTTCCAGAGTAGAACTGGTCCATGGGGGTTTCTTGGCTAGGTTTAGAAAGCTTATGGGAAATGTGGTGAAGAAAGCTGATGGTACCCGGCTATCAAAAGATATAGCGTCTGGGGTGTTAAAGGCTTGAAGGTAAACAAGCGGACATCTAGCTCAGAAGCAACAAAGCCCACATGGAAGAAGCACACCA